CCCCAACCATCTCACACTCTGGATCACTGTCCACCTGCCCTAATCACCCCAGGGCCAGGAGCCAAGCAACTAGAGCCAGTCTCTGTGCCCCAGAGCCACTAAAGCCGGCCAATCCTAACCCTGCTTACCCAGCGTGCCTGTTCCTTCCCAGAAACCACAATAAAGGCTCTCACCTGCATTTCCCCCACTCCCTCTGCCTCCTGACTGATCCCAGTGCTTCTCCAGGTGGCCCCTCATTGTGTGGTGTGCCCCACCCCTCAGGATCTGTAAGTGTAACAAACTATCTTTTCAATGGCCAGTTGTTCCCTCATCTGTTAGCTTTGTCATTCCTGAATTATAATTGAATCTATATTTTAAAACGATAATCTGTGAGTGGACAAATCCATAGCCGGCATGGCTCTCACAGGTAACTAAGATGGTCGAGGCAGAAGTGAAAAACCAGAACATTGTGCCACTAAAAATAACAACTATTTTTCTTAATGTTCCCCATTGATCCTCTAGATAACTCCAGGAGGTGGGTTTTATTGTCCCCAATCATTCAGAAGTGAAAATTAAGGCTTAGATTAAATAATATGCCACTAGCAAGTGGCAGAACTGGGATTTCAACCCAGTTTTAACTCGGATCCAAAACCAGAACTCTTCCTAATCTGTCCCAAGGATCTTTGCTAGGCTAGGAATTTTTGAACAAATGAGTTTTATATTTTTAATCACCTTTTTCTAAATATAAAAGTAATAATTCTCACTGACGATTTGAAATATAAAGAAGAAATTTAAAATCGCTCATTTAAGCACTCAGAGATAACCACTGTCAACATTTTGGTGTTTGTCTTTCTAGTCTTTCTCCCATGCATATTGTATAGAATTTACAAAACTTAGATTAAACTCACTGTCTCTTATAACCTACTTTTAAATCTATCAGTAGGTTGTGAGCATTTTACCATGCCATTAAACGTTTTCCTAAGAAAGGAACTTTAGTGGCTACATTTTGGTTTCCCAGTTTATAAATACAAGAGCCCTTTATGAATCCTCCATTTGTTATCATGTGAATTATTTCTAATATTTTGTTACTGAAAGTGCTTTGATGAACATCATCATCTGTCCCGATACATAATTCTTTGTGAGCATCTTGATTAAAACCTAAGGATAAATTCCTCAATGTAGAATTGCTGACTCAAAGGATAGGCACCTTTTTGTTTTTTGTTTGTTTGTTTTGTTTTTAGATAGAGTTACTCTGTCACAGGCTAGAGTGCAGTGGCACAATCTCAGCTCACTGCAACCTCCACCTCCCAGGTTCAAGCAATTCTCCTGCCTCAGCTTCCTGAGTAGCTGGGATTACAGGTGCACACCACCACAACCAGGTAATTTTGGTATTTTCAGTGGAGGCAGGGTTTCACCATGTTGGCCAGGCTGGTAGCAAACTCCTGACCTCAAGTGATCCACCCGCCTCGGCCTCCCAAAGTGCTGGGATTACAGGTGTGAGCCACTGCACCTGGCCCTGGATATGCACGTTTTTAAGACTTTTGACTTTTGATACTTGTTTGTCAAATTTCCCTTCAAATATGTGGTACCTGTTTCCACGTATCCAGAGCACTTTGTTTTTAACATAATATGAATTCCTGCTAGGGGCTGCTTTGGGTGTATTTTTGCATGTGTGTGCATGTATGACTGAAACACACACAGGGTCCTTTCCATGCTCAGTTCAAGCACAGTGTAGTCCTTGATTAATATCTATAGTTGCTAAATAAAGAGGCTTCTTAGACTTGAAATCTCTTCCAAAAGAGCAATTGGTTTCTCAAAAGGGCTTACTAGCCTGGTAGTGGAGTAACTATTGTTATTCAGTCATACAGAGCTATGATACATGACTGCCTATGATGCTTAAGTGACAGTTGTATGTGCATTCCTCCAAGTAAATTCAGATTATGTGTACCGTACCTACATACAGTAAGTTCGGAGGGAAGGCCAGTAAGCAATGCATTCCATTTCCATAAAGAAAGGGTGACTGGAAGAGGGAGGATTTTAACTAATTCTAAAGAACTGAAGAGATTCAGAGTCCCAGGATGCCAATAGAAGGTTGTATGACTCCCCTGACATCTATAGCCAAAGGAATATGCTACTTACCTGGTGTGACCTAATGTGTCCCCCAAACTGACTCATGTTCTCAAATATCACTGCGGATACACACCAGCCTTCTGTGTCCTAAATTCTACGTAGTAACACCTTGGCCTTCAAGCTGAAAGTTACCTGTTAAGATGCAAATAGATGAGTCAGAAGGGCTTAGCTGCATTAACAACTTAACTCAAAGGAGCTTATCGAACATCACACAGCTTGAGCTCCTTACAGAGGCCCCAGGAAAATGGGATCAGAGTATGTGGTATTACTACTCAGTTTCCAAAGCCAAGGTAGAGTGTCAAAGCAGCTTCCTGGATGACTATGGAGAGAAGGACAGTTCTGGTGACAAAAGAGACAACACAGAGTGTCTTTGAGGACCGTGAAGAGAGTTTTCAGTGCAGTTTTCAGTGTGGTTCAGGCAATCATTGGACTTTTTGGACTGAAACTTTGATCCCATTCCCTGCTGATAACCACACTGGTTTGTAGCTTCCATTTCCTGCTAAGGATAGAACTTGCAGCAAACAAATTATTCTAGGTGGGCAAACCTTCTCCTTTTTCCTCCCACAGGTATATACAGGTAAGCGTCTGAGACAGGCTCTGCATGGACCAGGTCACAGCTGTTAACAAGGCATTGGTTATATCAATGGCAACTCTGAGACGATTTCTCTATGCTGTAGTACGGCACTAAATATAATAGCCTCTTCACTGACACATTGTTATCAGTATTATTATGGCTTTCTCTTCATGCCTGTCACTGGATTATGGTAATTTTTTTTTGGTCATAGGTTTTAATCGGAGTTGAAGTCTCTGAGTTACTGACAGCTCGGAAGAGCTGTAAATGCTCTAAGATTGACTTCCCACTGTCACAAAATCATAACACAAGCAAAAAGTAGAGGTTCTCTCAAGCCTCTTCATTCCAATTAAAAACAAAGCAACTTTCTAAACAGCAGGCTTCTTTTCCCGATTTCACGCCAAAGGAGAGGGAGGCAGAAGGCACCAACTTCTCTCCTCGTCCTTCCTCCAAGGTTCAATGCAAGAAACAATGACCTTGGCAAAAATGACGAGAAGCAGATACTGCAATTTAGCTAATGGTGTCTACAGGAAGCTAGGAATCATTCCTTTGACATGCTGTGGTACTGAAACAGCATCAGGCCTTGGTGAGTTCTCCTGACCTTGTAGCAGCTGCTCACAGACATTGCCTGTGGTCATTCATTTGAATAACCACAATAGAGCTGGGAAAATGAGTCATGTTAACTATCCCCTTTGGAGGTTATGAAACAGAGGCAGAGGCACCTCTGGCCTTGCCTTCCTGGCACCACAGAAGTTCCCTCCTGACCAAATGTGACCCACAGCTAGGAGGCATCTAGGAGTAGGCCAAGTGTTAGACAGAGATTACTAAATCTCCTTTCTGTCATCATGGGGAAGTTGTATGAGACCACAGTACCAATCTTAGATAACCACTAGCTACTTTTCATTTTGCCTTCAGAGTCCTTCTGCTTCTTCCGTTTGCAGCCCTTTCCCCCTTTCTAGTGTCATCCTTAGGCCTCCCACGACCAGCACAGACCATTCTGGCATCGAACTTAGGTTAGTCCTTTACATCCACCCAAATCCTTATTTGCCTGAGGTCCTGTTCTCAAGTAATTATCACAGAAAGAGATGACCTGAATATAGGCTAGGTTATGCTGCAGTGATAAATAACCCAAAAATCTCAGTAGCAAAAATGACAAGTTTCTCACTCATTTTGCAAATCCACCACAGGTTGCCGAAAGACTCTGCTCCCCAGAGTAACTCAGTAACCCAGGCCACCATCAGTGACCCAGATCACTGTCTTAGAAGTCGCCACCATCATCTCCAAGAGAGGACAGGAACTAGAGTCTTATTCTGGCAATTAAATGCACTGACTGAGAAATTACATTACTTCCACTCACAAGGCATTGGCCAGAATTCATCACATGGCTTCGTCCAACCAAAAAGGGGCCAGGAAGCACAATCTTCTTTTGTGCATCAGAAGGCACAGAGCCAGAAATATTTGATAAGCTGCATAAATGATTAACATGACAATTATTTTGCAATAAGAAAAAAATGAAGACTTGCAGGGTAGAGAGTTACCCCTCCTGGTGCTGTTTGCTATTACAGTAAAGCTGTGTTCAGTTCTCTAGTGCGAGGAAGGATCGACCAGATAATGGAAAAAAGAAAAATCTCTCCCCAGTTCAGACCCTATGCTTGCTTTATTTGTTCACAGTTCTCAAGGTGGTTTGCCCGAGTGAATACAAAATTATATAAATACATGCCGAAGATGAAAATAATAAGGATGAGAATATGTGCCAAACAACTTAAATTTGGTAGGGAGGAGAGACGCATAGTGGAAGGAAAATAAATTGGAAGCCTAGACAGAAAACTGAAAGAGATTTTGTGCTTATCTGAGATGATAAAAACAAAGATGGATACAGATAATTTTTTGCTATTAGCTGCTAGCTTTCTGGAAGCATGAAAAAAAAAAAAAAGCCAGGATGAAGATTGCATCAGTCTAAACACAAAGCAGTTCAGGCTTGGAGTAGAGTTTGAAGGAAAGAGACATCTGAGATTACTGTGGAGAAATAATGAATGCAAAGAGGTGATGGCGTGTGGAAGAACGGAGACATTTGCTGTTCTTGTATCCAGGAGAACTGCTGAGATTTAGTAGGAACACCCAGCAGTGGCAGCACAAAGTTCAGTTTCAGAAAATAGAATTGGCAGCAGAATCATGCTCTTGTGCCCTAGCAAATGCTATATATGTGCCCAGGGCAAAAACAAGCAAAGAAAGAAGCAAGCCCCACACATGACCAATATTTGAGCACCCATCATCAGGTCCAAAGCATGAGGGAGGGGAAATCTCAAAGATCTTTGTGTACCTTGTAGCAGTTCCAGGGAAATGAGACTGTGAAGTGATCCCACATCCAATCTGTCAGCAAATTCTGTTGGCTTTAGCTTCAGCGTGTAACCAAAAGTAGAAGCCACCTTAACACCTCCACCTGCCACTTCTCCCAAGCCACTCTAATCTATTGCCTTGATTTTTACAGTGGCCTAACTACTCTCCTATTTAAACCCTTGTCTCCCAATTGTGTGTCTTCTATGCAGCAGCCAGAGTGATCGTCCTGAAATGTAATTTCTCTGCTTGAAACTCTCTGATGGCTTCCTATTCTTCTTAGAGGATCCCAAGGCCTTCCCTTGACCTAGAAAGCCATCTAGGATCCAGTCTCCCAAATGTCCTGGACCCCATTCCCCCATCACTCCCTTTCCACCCGCTTGACTGTTCACACTAGCCCTGCTGCACCCTCTGCCAAGCCTTCTGTCTCAGGGCTTTTGCACTGGCTGCCTTCTGTGTCCAGGGGGGCTCTTCCCCCAGAAATCTGCATCAAGACTGTTCCCATGCTTCCTTGGAGTCTCTGCCCAAATACTGTTTGATCAGAGAAGTCTTTCTTATCCATTCTATTTAAAAGAACACACTCCCACCCCAGCCCTGAAGGCCCTAATCCTTCTAAACTATCTTTCCTTAGCTGGTTTTGTGTGAAATGGGTTGTCACATGTACTGATTTAGTTGTAGTTATAAGTACTCCAAAAGGGCAGGAAGGATTTTGCCTGATTTGTTCACTGTTATAACCCCAGCATCTAGAACAGGACCTGCCAACAGTGTAAGCCCAATAACTACGTGTTGATCGAACAGATTGAAATTCATCTCAACCCTCCCACTACAGGGATCTAGTGTCAAAGAGATATTCAAGGAACAAGGCATCTCTCTCTCTCTCTCTTTTGTGATACCCTGTGAGGATTCAGTGCCTCCTTCTCCTACCTGATATCAGCTGCCATGGATACAGTTTTCTTAAAGGGTCAAGGATGCGACAGATGCTTTATATGAGCTTTTATGTCCTCGGTAAAATTAACAACAAGCAAACCTTGAGTAATAAAGCTATAATTCTGTCTTGCAATTCTGATTTGATACAGACTGTAAGAGCTTGGCTCTTGAGGCTAAAAGCTGTTTCCAGAACCCTCAATGGAATTATACCTCTGTAATTCATTTACTGTTATTCATTTTATGTATGTTTACAGATAGAGCCAAAACAATCATACAGCCAGCAAAACTAAAGCAAAGAAGAAAAGATACCTAGTGGTTTTCATTTTTAAATTACAATCATTATGTGAGTTACAATATTTTGCCACACTACAGCACTTCTAGGCTAAATAAGAACTACACTTAACAGCAAGGTAAACATAATAAGATAGCTTTTTAAAAAATGAATATTACCTTGCTCTGTCTTCAGGGATGTTATTTTCAATAGCAATATCAATTCACAAAGAAAAGTCAAGAGAATAATTACGGATGTTTAGCCAATAGGACTGGTATATGTAAACAAGATCAGAAAAAGGTACTGGATAATACCCTTGGAAGGCCTCTAAAGCTATTGTCCCACCACAGCCATTTTCAACTACACAACCAAAAACAATCCAATAAGCTTTCATCATTTATGTCCAAATTTCTAATGAAACAAGCCTCTTGAAAAATAAACAAGTATACAGATGGGCTTGGATAGATCTGGCATTAAATCTACACTTTATGTTTCTTTATTTTATTTCATTTTAAGATAATTTAGGATATTCAAAAGTGATCTGTTAGAAAAAATTATTGGAGAGACAATAACATTTTCTTGCACCAGATGCAAACTAGATAATGATAAGATGAATACACTTTCCTTATCCAATGAACTAAAACTTCATTTGAGAAGGAACATCAAGGACTTAGAGGGTTCTCTTGTGTGGAGTTCTTTCTTCTTGATAAAGGGTCTCTCCTGTCACCCAGGTGGAGTGTATTGGTGCGATCATAGCTTACCACAGCTTTAAACTCCTGGTCTCAAGTGATCCTCCTACCTAAGCCTCCTAATTAGTTAGGTCTACAGGTGTGTGCCACCATGCCTGGCTAATTTTTTTTTTTTTTTTAATTTTTGTAGAGACAGTCTATCTATTTTCCCCAGGCTGGTCTCAAACCCCTGGCCTCAAGCAATCCTCCCCCCAACCTCCCAAATCACGGGGATTACAGGCATGAGCCACCATGGGTGTTGGCGTGTGGATTTCCATCTACAGGACACTTGGCTTCCACTTACAGCCTATGTCATATATAGACTACTGAACAGCCTAAGATAATGTGTGTAAAATTTTACAAAGGTTTTTCTTGTTTCAGTCAGGCATGACCTTTAAGTATATAAAACTTTACATAAGAAAGGTGCCCAGAAGATTTCTGGAAGAATTAAGCAAATTCAATTCACAAATATTTTTGAGTACCTACTAAATGTAAAGCACCTTTCTAGGTACTGAGATACAACTGTGAACAACACAGATTTAAATCTCTTCATGGAGCTTCTACTCTAGTGTACTGGGAACATGGACAGGAAGCAAAATAAGTAAATGACATATTTTCCAGGTGAGAACTGCTAGGTGCTCTAGAGAAAAATCAAGTGAAGAACAGCCAGGGAAGGTAGGCCAGGAGTGCAACTCTAAAGAGAATTAGGGCAGACCTTACCGGAAAGGAGACATTTAAGCAAAGACTCGATAAGTGCCAATATCTAGATGAGTTTTCCAAGCAGAAAAAACTGCAAAAGCAAAGATCCTGATGTGGAAGTGAGCCTGCCATATGACTGAGTGGAGAGCAGCGGATGAGGTCGGAGAGGTCGGGGGGCCGTATCCTACAGTGACGCAGGGCACAGGTGGCTTGACATGGCCAATGTTTTCAAAGCATCACTGTATACTTTGTCTGGAATAGCTGGGGTGGGCTAGAGGGCAAAAATAAAAGCAGAGAGACCAGTCAGAAGGCTTTAGGGTGAATGTAGGTGGGGAAGTTTGGCTGCTACCCTTGGATCAAGGTGGTAGCCAAAGAGTTGTTGATACAATATGGTCAGATTCTGGATATCTTTTGCAAGTATACAAAATAGGATGGGGACAACAGGATTAGGACACTTCCAAAGATTCACCTGGCCAATTTAGGTAGATATGATCCTCTCCCCACTAGGTCCAGCGCAGTATTATTTACATCATTCACCCACCAAAACTTAACAGGCATCAATGAAAATCTTTTTTTTTAAGAGACAGAGTCTAGTTCTTGCTGCCCAGGATGGAATTCAGTGGCATGATGCTAGCTTATTGGGCTCAAGCAATCCTTTCGTCTCAGCCTCCTAAGTAGCTGGGACAAGAGGCACCTGCCACTACACCCAGTTATTTTTTATTTTTTCATATTTTTGTAGATACAGAGACTTTGCTTTGTTGCCCAAGCTGGTCTTGAACTCCTAGGCTCAAGCGATGCTCCCACCTCAGCCACCTAAAGGGCTGGGATTACAGGCATGAGCCGCCATGCCTGGTCTATCAGTGAAAATCTTAAAGGATAGCTCAGAAATGTTGGTACTTTGGGACAAGTAAGAACCCCATGTTAGAATGAAAGGGTTCCTGAGTCAGCAGAAGGTGTAATGTATCTGCTGCTCAATGTGCACACATTGTTAGCGGGGGAGCGTGTCACCCTGTCTCTCCTCTAATCACCCTTCCTCTCGCTGACCCAACATCATTCTGGGAGCTGTGAGCAGTAGAGCCATAGAGCACTATTTCTGTGCTCAACAATTTCCAGCTTACTTGGAGAGGCCTGTGAGACTCCCTCCTCCATCCTTCTTCTGATCCTCTTTCTCTCTGCTTTTCTTTTCCTCCTCTGCCTTTGTCAGATTTCCCTGACAAAGATGCTCTCTCAGGCTCTTGGCGCGACTGACCTCCATGGAGACTGTGCTTGTGGTTTTTCCTTTGTTCTTGTCTGCAGTCTGACAACACTTTTAATAGTGTCCCTCTCAGGAGTGTCACAGCCATGTCTTGTACTTTCCTGTATTTCTTCCCTTGGCCCCTGGTTAAGGTAAAGCCCCAAACCAAACAGGACCTGGCCTTAAAAACTCCAGGATCAACTCAAGACTTTTGACAGTGTGGCCTTCCTTGGGGCCTTTAACTTAGATGCTCAGTGTGCCATGGGCCTGATCCTCCCAGGGAGAAGGGAGAAGTCAGACATGTCCTTTCCAGCAGCTGGGCTCCATCTTCCAGGATCTTTGGACCTTTTTCAGCAAACAAACCCTCCAGGCACCAGAGACCTGAAAAAAAGTGTCATTATTTTAGTTCCTGATAGCTTTAAAAATACAGCTAAGATTTTTACTGGAGATCATGTGAGCCACGGAAACGTGAATTTTACTATTTAGTGTGTAAACCGTGCCTTTTAAGCATATGCTGCAGCAGATGGTAGGTGATATTGTGGTGTGCTTAGTTAGATGGGATCCTTGCTAAAGCTCACCCATCCCATCTGCATTCTCTAAAGGCCAGGACATCCTGTTACCTGAGCTAAGAAATCCATCAGAACCATGAAAACGTTTAAAATGGTAAATAATAATAATGGGTCTGTGCTGGGTGCGTGCTAATAAAAATGCAGAGCTTCTCCACCTCGAGTGGAAAAAAACCAAGGTAAACCCAGTATCAGCGATTCTTCCAGAAAAGCTGTCACTGTGATCTGTGAGGCACTATCAAGATGAAATTGGAACCAAGTGTACTTTATTCAGGACATCTTTGAGATAAAAAATATAATGCTCCTTTTCTATCTTTGTGACATTGTTCGCAAAGATGTGATTTGGCTGTTAAAGCCACTTGCACTGTATCTCAAGGCTAAGGCTGACAATTCAAATAAAAGCCTCTCTCTCTCTCTCTTTGGTTTGTTATCTGAGCCGCAGCTAGCTGTCATGGCCATCTACACAGTGGGGCACCTGGGAAGGGGTGAGGCGTGTGCCTGGCCTGCCATCACATCCCACCTGACTCCATGCTTCTGAGCTCCATTTAACTTTCCAGAGTTCTGGGAAATTTCTGTTTTGTTTTGTTGGATGACCTCAAAACCAGGTGCAGTGTTAAAAGCCAAACGATGGTGTTTAATTTTTAATAACTTTATTGTACATGCTTTGTAGAAAATTTAGAATACATACTGGCACAAAAAAGAAAATAGGATCCCATCATTTTAGATTAGCACTGTGAATATTTGAACATATTTCCTTCTGAACTTTTCTCAATTCAACATGTGTGTTTTGTTGGTTTATTTTTGTTCATAAAAAGGGTGGGGGTATTTGAATGAACAATTCTGTGAATTGCTCATTAACAATTTATGACAAACATTTTCCAGCAGCATTTAATTCTCAACAGATGTGGGCACACTACTTTTCCCATCATCATTAATCTGCAGAGAACACCATTCCAGATGAGTATCTCTGAATTATCATAAATCACTTTAGAATCTTCATTAAAAGAAAAACTGTAGAATGTCTCTCCCTACAAAGATGCAGTGTCACGAAGGCAGAATCTCACCTGAAATATTCTAATTCACTGGCCCTTTTGACTAGTTGCAGTAAGCACTGTATTCTTGTTTGCCCAACCTCAAGTCCCCTCGGAACCTCAAGTCTGCCCGGTAGTGAGGCCATCCTGGCCTGCAAAGAATCTCCCCCAAGATGCCCAACCCCTTCTCACCTAAGGGTGCC